AGGACAGAGTGGAACTGCCCACAGGGTCTCCAAGGCTGTCAATCTTTACAGAAGCAAAGCCCAAACCACACCCACTGCCGTGGAGTCAATTTCCACTCACTGCGCCCCTAGAGGACAGAGTGGAACTGCCCCCATAGACATTCCAAAGGCTGTCAGTTTTTATCCATGCAAAGCCTAAACCACACCCACTGCCAATTGACTCCGACTCACAGTGCCCCTAGAGGACAGAGTAGAGCTTCCCCACAGGGTTTTAAAGGCTGTAAATCTTTGCAGGAGAGTGCTTCTGGTGGGTTTGAACTGCCGATCTTTTGGTTGGCAGGTGAATGCTTAATTTAATATTATGGGCGGAGCCTAGTTTTATCAGTTCAGCTCACTTGGGTTTGCGTGAAGATGATATCACCTGGCCAGGCAAACTTGGGTATATTCTTTCTCTGGGTTCTTTTCCCCACCTCATCTGTAGAACAGGGATAAAAATACCTGCTTTGTAGAACTGTGAGGTGAGGGGGAATGCACCAGGAGTATTTACCCCAGTGGTCACCATATCACCCTCTCTTGTGGTGGTGGTTAGGTACCGCCGAGTTGATTCGGACTCATAGTGACTCTATAGGACAGAGTAGACCACCCATGGGGTTTCCTAGGCTGCAGCCTTTACGGGAGCAGACCGCCAGCTCTTCCTCCCAACATGTCTCCTAATATTAGCTGCTATTTTGTAAGACACCGTTCTTTTTTGGTCTTTGGTGATTACTAAGGAATTAAGAGGTAGCGTAGTATGTAAGGCACTTGACTGCTAACCAGAAGGCTGGCGGTTCAAACCCACCAGCTGCTCCTCGGAAGGAAGGCTGGGCAATCTACTTCTGTAGAGATATCGCCTTGGAAACCCAAGGAGGGGTTGCTATGAGTCAGGTCTGACTTGACTGTACATAACAACAACCATAAGGAATGAAGAACAAGTGGTTTTGTAAGATGTGGTTAAGAGAAGAGTGACACACGAGGAGGGCTTGCGGTTCCCGTGTTGGGCAGTGTGGGGTCAGCAGGGTCATCGTCAGCCTGTCTGCAGCCACAGACCTGTATCTGTTAATTAGCAATGTTGGGGCCCGGAGGCCCCCGTAGAACACGTCTGTTTTCTCCACATCCAGTTGAGAGATGCAGAATCAAAGCGTCACCCTTCTTACCGTGAGGCCCACGCCCCATCCCCCTCAGGGGTGCAGGAACAGTGGCTGTCTTCATGCCCTTCTCAGAACTAGACAGACTCAGCGGTGGCTGCTCTGGGCCGCAGCAGGCCTTCCCCTGAATGGCCCTGCTCGGTCACCCTCAGGGCGTGCTGCCTGAGTGGAGAGCTCGATGCCCACACTCTTGGTCCCATGACCCACTCTGTGGGGGACAGGGGGAGGTCAGGACATCTGGGAAAGTGCCTTCCTAATGGAAACCAGAGAAGTGGGAGGGACAGTTTAAACCGCTCATGGGGAGGGCAGAGGGGCTCCCAGGAGTTTGTGAATAGGGAAACTGGGAGAGGACCAGAAGGGAAAGGGAGGGTGATTGAATGGAGATTTGTGGAGTCACCTCCATAGGTAACATTTGCGGGGCACTTCCAGGCGCACAGTAACGAACTCAGCCCTCCCAACAGCCAGTGAGGTGGGTTTGACTATGAGCTGAACTTTGCTGCTGCTGCTGTTGTAGGGTGCCTTTGAGTCGGTTCTGACCCACAGCGACCCCGGTGGCAGAGTGACTGCCTTGTGGGGCTCAGCCCTACCCTGCCACACGTGGGGTTGCCGTGCAGTGGCGTGCACCTAGTGGTACCAGGGCCCAGGAGGTAACCGGCCTCCTTGATGATGTGACCACTGCTGCAGCAGGTAGTGCCTTTGCACGACTTCAGGTGTTTGCACATTTGTACTTTCCACTTGGCCCTTTCCAGTTCAAGGCCAGAAGTGAGTCCCAGTTGTCCCCTCAGCTGTCGGCCAAGGGTCTCAGAAGCAGGCTGCAGGTGAGGATGCAGCCCACGAGGCCGCATGTTCCATCCCTCTGGCCTTCACCCTTGGCCTGTTCCTGGTCCACTCGCTGTCACATGTCCCTGGGGTCAGCCCCTGGCAGGAGAACTAGGTGGACTTAGGAGGACGCCACTTCCTTCCCCTTGTGGCCCTAGGGTGGCAGTGGCTTCCTGCTTTGGGACCCTCTGGGTGTCTCCCTGTGCCACCAGCTCCTGGTGTTAGAGTCCTCTGTCTGCAGACACTTGACATGGCTGTGCCCCTGGTGAGGTCCTAGCTCTCCACCTTCTTTCCCAGAGGTCCCTCCTGTCAGCCTACTCTGCTCCTGTTTGATTTACACCAAGTTTTCCACGGAAGCTTGGTTTCGGTTTTATGGCTGCATCCAAGCATCTCCTGTAAACTCAGGCCTCATGCACTCACCGACTGTCCATCAAAAAACAGCCCAGACAGAACCTGTCTGCCTCTGCCCTCGCCTGCAGGAAGCCCTCTGAGCAGGTCAGACAGCCACACAAATAGCAAAGCCCGTGGTTTCTCTCAGCCACCAGGAAATGACTGGTCCCCAGAAATGAGGTTACTAAGAGGGCTTCCTGGAAGGAAGCGAGGAGATGCTGAAGCCCACCTGGTTAGAGATGCTCAAGCCCAAGTGGGCTTTCGGTGACAGATAAAGATGCTACGTGCTCAGGGTTGAGCCTTCCCTTCTCTTTTTGAAAACCGTGTGGATTGCAGACCCCTCGTGGGGCCAGGGGACGAGTGTGTGAAGGGCTGGGTACTGCAGGAGGTGCCTGGGTGTGAGGCACGAGGCCGAAAAGGCCTCACCAAGGACAGTAGGCTGCGAAAGCCGGAACCGACGTAAGGTAGAAACCTGTCAGAGAAGGAAAACACAACTATTTCCTACTAAGAGAGAGTGATAGGAGAGTGGTCAGACTGCTCCTGTCGAAGGCAGGAAGCTTGCAAGACCTGGAAAAACAGGCAGTCCTGTGGAGTTCCAGCTCTGACGGTTTCACTGTAAATGCAGTGACCTTAAACCTCTGAAGTCTGAGTGCACTTAATGTGGGGCCCAGCTCACCACTAGAGGGAGACACTGTGCCAGTGACCGAAGCATCCAAGTGCCTCAGGCATACTTCCTGCTTAAAAGTAGATTACCCAGTCTTCCTTCTGTGGAGTGGCTGGTGGTTTGAACTCACAGCCTTCTGTTAGCAGTCAGGTGCCTTAGGCACTGTACCACCAGTGCTCCTTCTTAAAAGGTGTGGCACAGGCTAATATGTTCAAGGCCCACTCCTCCAACACGAGGGTTTAGGGTGTACAGGATTCCCTGGGGCTCCGCTTGGCTGCGTGCCTTCCTGGGTGGTTGTGGCCACAGGGCTGGGGTCGGGGCCAGGGTGACTGGGCCTCGCTTTCCTTCCTGGCAGGGCAGGGTTGGCAGTCTGCCCGTGTGGGGCCGCGCTGAGGACAGCACACCGTTCCTGCCTGCACCGTGCTTGGCATAGGGTCGGTACTCCGCAGGAAGTACCTCTTTGTTCTTTTAAATGGTGACTTCTTGACTGAAGTGATCTCTTAGTCGGTGTTTAAAAATCAAGATCGTGATGCCTGAGAGGGCTTACACAGGACTGGCACCCCGGGCTGTCGCTCTGTAGAGATCATGGACACAGTGCTAGTGTAATAAGAATATCCATTTTGGACCTGGTTAATGTGTTAAAAAAATGACGAGCATGACTCTTGACCCCAGTACCTCTTGGGTTGTGTTTTGCTATAATGGGAAATGATAGCCTTTGGAGAAGGCTGGTTGGGTCTCATTGATATTTGGATGGCTTAGGGAACTGTCAAGTCTTTTCAAAGTTCCTGATGATAATGAAATTTACTGTTTTTTGTTACAACTGGAGGGTCGCTATGAGTCAGAATCAACTTAGTGGCACATGACAACAAGTACAAAGCTGCCTTCTGAAAGAGAAGTTCTTAGCTCGAGGGAACGCACGCAGTTCAGTGTGTGTGTGTGTGTGTGTGTGCACGCGTGTGTGCGTGTGCGCGTGCGATTGATAGATTGATTGAGTTGAGGGCTGTGTTCCATCAGAGCCTTCGGGCCACTTTCCCCCGTTCCAGAGTGTTGACAGATACCTGCACGAGTAAATTCATATCCCTTTGGCCTTCAGCTAGTTTGAGGGAAATAAGGCTCCCATACTTGCTGAAGAAGAGGCAGGGAGCCCATGCTTAGAGGGCGGACAGGGACAGAGGTCAGGAGGCCCTTTACAGCTCATTTAGGGCGTGAATGACAGGGGCTGTCCAGGGTTCTTCTAAAGCGAACAGGACCCTTTGCGTGGGACACGCTTATTCGGGCCCGCTTTTCTGATCCGAGAGCAGCGCGTGAGCTTGTTCAAGGCTGTGTGAGTGGCAAATGTGATCTGTGGTGTCTTGAAAAGCAGGTTTGTTTTCCCAGTAAAAGACCGCCGTCTGTTCTTTCTTCCAGGGGCGCAGGAGGTCCTCATTGATCCAGGTACATGATCTCCACACTCAGGCCCGCACGTTCCCTTGGGCTGGTTGTTTTGTAAGTGCTTGTTCCCTGGTGTGGGAATGAATGGTTGATGGGCGCTGCTGGGCTGTGATCTTGGGGGCATTCTGATTTAAGACACTATAAATCGGAACGATGCAGCCCTGATTACGGTGTGGCCCTTGTGCGATGGGGTGCTTGACGCTGTGTGCTGATGGGACACTCCTCTTCCAGCATGGGGCCGTGAGTGCCTGGGGCCTGTGGCTGAGCATGCTCGTCCTGTCGACTGTGACTCCATCCTCGTGGTGGCTTTGCTCCTCTCCACGTGAAGCTGCACTCTGTTTGCATCGTGTGTCTGTGTGTTCTTAACCGGGGAGGGCGTCTTCTTACAGAGGTGGGTGTCCTTTCTCCTCTAACACCTGCTTCATCGATAAAGCAAAGGTCTCCTTTGTCAAGGTGCTGCCGACCTCCTGCTGAGCACTTACCCTCTGGCTTACTCACAGCAGGGACAAAGGGGACACTGTACTTACCAAGTGAATGCGCCCTTCACCTGAAGACTAGAAACCTGCCCGGTCCAGCCTCCACGGCTTTCTAACCACACGGTTTCCCCTGGGCCGCTCTGCGTGGCCCGACCCTGCAGTACCACTGCTTCAGGGCTGCAGAGTCTTGTTTCCATGTACATGTTGAATCCTTTCTCCAGGCTGATGGTGGCATTTCGGGGTCTGGTGTGTGGAAAGTAGAGGCAGGAAGACCCATGCTCAGTTGTGTTTTTAGGAAGCCCGAGTGGCTGACTGGGAACCAACTGCAGGTCAGTCCAGGTCCCTGGACTCTATGGCGCCGTGGGATGGAGTGACCCCATGGCTGCCACTGAGGAAGAATTAAATGGAGGTGGAATTTACTGGTGTTGGACTAACAAAACTTTTGGAGCCCACATCTGGCCAGTTATGTCTGATGGGTAGTATTGAATTTCAGTGTGCTGATCACTTTACTTGGTAGAATTAGATGCTGATACCAATTAGGTGCAGCTTTGAGAAAATCAGTCATTTGTTAAGATGAAAAAAGGAGTCTGTATGTTTTCACCCCTGACACTTCCCCATGTAATGCTGGATAGAGATGAAATCCAGACCTGGGTGTTAGAGTCAGGGTAAGGACCACACTGTGGTAATAATGAAATTCACTGTTTTTTTGTTAAAACTGGAGGGTCGCTATGAGTCGGAATCAACTCAGTGGCACATGACAAGTACACAGCTGCCTTCTGAAAGGGAAGTTCACTGTGGTTAGAGTCAGAGTAAGGACCACACTGTGATAATAGTGGGCTTTGTGCTTCAGGATGGGTCAAGATCCTGCCACAGTAGTTTCCATCAGCACGATGGCCCCAAGCACCCATCATTTGGCTTCGATGGCACCTTCTGTAATGGCCCCAAACTCGAACTAACTGGACTTGACCTCTACTTAACCAGGGGAGACCAGGAGAACCGACCTTCAGCTGTGCTCCCACTCCCACCCATTCCTGCCTGTGGGCCTCTGTACCTGGATGGACACCTTCGGAAGTCCTGGGGCTGGTCCCTTCTCTGCTCCACAAGCCCTTGCAGAGGAGATTGGTGGTGGAGTTGTTGGCAGAGAACCATGTCACAGCTCCCGTGAGTTCTGATTCCCCTTCGTATCTGCATCTGAGTAGCTAACATCCTCTCACGGGTCCCGAATGGGCTCAGCCCCGGAGGAAACCTGTTCACGCAAAGCCATCTCAATTGCCTTGCTTTCACTTGGTTTTCAAGTTTTAGATAGACATAACATTCGAAGCAAACTCTTTCAGAACTTTTTTCCTGCCCGATTTCCCCACCCTTGTTTCAAAACTCGGAGGAAAAGACTCGGGTGGTCTCCGTGCGTGGAGGTTACTTTAAGAAGAAAGCTCCTCCGGGCGCTTCTGGGAGTCCCTGTTCTGCATTTTAAATGAGCGCTCCTTGGTGGTGAGTCCTTTTTCTGTTATTCCTGGACATTTTGTCTGCATTCAGAACTGCTGCAAGTAGAGTGGTCGTTGGGCCGACTTCGGCGGCTCACCCTTCTTGTACCGTTGGCACGCCGAGAGGAGTGTCGTCTTCCTGTGGTGGAAATGAGGAGCTAGCTCTTTTCAAGTGATGGGCATTGTTCCAAGGTGGTTTTTTTTTTTTTTGGCACGACTTTTATATAATTCACCTGGTTAAAGTGCACAGTTTAAGTCTCGTCACAGACTTGAGCAACAGCAGTCCATTGTAGGAGGTTTTTATCACTCGACAAGAGCCCCGTACCCCGCAGCAGCCACTGCGCGTTTCCCCAGCCCCGGCAGCCCCCGCGCCGCTTCCTGTCCCGATAGACTAGCTGCTCTGGATGTTCCGTGCAGCAGAGTCATGGTAGGTGGTCTTTGTGACTGTCACCTGCTTGACGTCATGTGCGCAGGGGGGTCCATGTTGTAGCAAGTCTCAGTGCTTCACTCCCTGTCGTGACTGAATGGCAAGTAATTGCATGGACAGACCACATTCAGTTTGTCCATCCAGCTGGTGGTGGACATTTTGGTGGCAGCTACTTTCTGGCTGTTAAAAGTGATGGTGCTGTAAACATTTGTGCACAAGGTTTTGTGTGTACACGTGTTTTCATTCTCTTTGGTGTATGTTTAGGAATGGGATTTCTGGGTCATATGGGAACTGTGTATTTATATTTTTGGGGAACTGCTGAACTGTTGTCCACAGTGGCTGCACCACTTTTCATGCCCGCTGGCAGTGATAAGGGTTCCAGTTTCTCCACTCCCTCGACAGCACTTGCTGTTGTGTTTTCGGTTGTAGCCCGTCTAGTGGGTGTGAAGTGGTACTTACTGCACTGTAGCTTTGGTTTTCACTCCCTGATGGCTGATGGTGTTGAGCGTCTTTTCATATGCTTATCAGCCATTTGTATGTTTTTGTTGGAGGAATGTCTATTCTACTATGTTGCTCATTTTTAAACTGAATTACTTGTTTTTTCATTTTTGAGTTGTAAGAGTTCCTTATGTATTTTGGATAAGAGTCCCTGATCAGAGAAATGATTTGCAAATATATTTTCCCATTCTTGTTTTTTTCATTGTGGCTTCTTGTTTCGTTTTTATAGTGAATGTCTTTCATGGGCAAAAATTTTGAATTTTGATGAAATCTTTATCTACTTTTTTTCTTTTCTAGATCATGCTTTCGGTGCCATATTTAAGTATTCTCTGTCTAACCCAAGGTCATAAGTAGTTTCTCCTAGAAGTTTTATAGCTTTGGCTCTTAGATTTAGGACAGTGATCCATTCTGAGTTAACTTTTGTGTATGGTGTGAGGTAACAGCAGTCCTAGTTTATTTTTACACCTGGACACCCAGTTTTCCCAGCACCACTGGTTGACAAGTCTGGCCTTTCTCTTGTTGAACTGTCATGTCAAGTTACCAAAACTCAATGGGACACTCATACACTGGTGCTGTAAGATGGTACAACCACTGTGGAAACCCAAAGTGCTTTTCCTTCAGAAGTTGGAAATAGAAATACCATATGATCTGGCAATCCCACTAGTAGGTGTAGATCCATGACACAAACAAAGAGAGGCACATTCATGTTCATGGCAGCATTGTTCACAGTAGCACAAAGATGGGAACAGTCTAAGTGCCCATCAACAGATGAGTGGAGTACTACGCAGTGTTTACAAATAACAGTGAATCTGCACAACACCTCGTAACGTGGATGAGCCTGGAGGATGCTGTGTTGAGTGAGGTGAGTCAATCACTAAAGGAGAGTTATTATACAAGGCCACTGTAAAACATTAAGAAAAGGATTATACACAGAAAGAATTGCTCTTTGACAGTTACCCAGGGGTGGGAGGGGAAGGGAGGGAAGGTCACCAGCTAGAGGGTAGGCACGTGTTAACTTGAGTGAAGGGAAAGCCGACGTACGATAAGGGGGAGGTAGCACAAGGAGCTCTGGTAGCGTAGTGTATAAAGCACTTGACTGCTAACCAGAAGGCTGGCGGTTCAAACCCACCAGCCACTCCTCGGAAGGAAGATGAGGCAATCTACTTCCGTAGTGATACTGCCTTGGAAACCCAAGGAGGGGTCACTATGAGTCGGGTCTGACTCGACGTCACACAATAACAGCAACAACAACAACAGCACAAAATGATTGAGTGTATTGGAAGAGATAGGGATGAGCATGGGTTAAAGGCAGCAAAGGTGATTACTGTTCTATACACAATCCTGCAGTAATAGTAATAACAATCATTTAGGAGGGGGTGCATATGGACGCTCAAGCTGAACAGGAGTGGGAAGGCAAATGGGACCACACCCACAAATACATAGAGGCTTGACAGAGGCCCGCTCTACCTGTGCGCTCATACGTGCTGCACATATACCCATGAAGGTAGTAGAGCACACGGGACAAAGTTATGAGCTCATCTCAGTTGTAACCAAACATCTTGAGGGATTGAGTCACTGGGTGTGGAGGCTCCAGACTATAGTCTCGGGACAGACACTAAGGCCAACTGGCATAACAAGTCCACAAAGACAGTGTTCTATATCCTACTTTGGTGAGTCGTGACTGGGGTCTTAAAAGCTTTTGAGCGGCCCTCTAAGGTGCAACTATTGGTCTTTTCCTGTCTGGAGCAAAGATGAGTGAAGAAATTGGAGATTCAGGAAACACTTAGCCCAAAGGACTAATGGAGCACATAAACCCCACCCTCCTCAACCCTGAGACCAGAAGAACTAGATGGTGCCTGGCTACCACTGCTGATCCCTCAAAAGTGATCACAAGATATCTGAAAGGGTCCCAGATAGAAGGGGGAAATGTGGAACAAAACTTGAAATCATAAAAAAGACCAGGCTTACTGGTCTGATGAAGACTGGTGGAGTCCTGAGTCTATGGCTCTTAGACGCCCTTCAGGCTAGGAACTGAACTTAACCCCAGTCAACTGTCAGCTGAACGATAGGCCTGTAAGGTGAACAGTAAATCCAGGAGGCTGTGCACTCATTACAACAATC